TTTGGTAATTGCTCTCCTCCTGATGGTTTACCTGGAATTCTTGGCCCACTTGCTCCCTATTGCTCATCTGTGGTCAAGAATCTTGGAGTGTTTTTAGGCAGTGCTTTTAAATTTGAGAAACAAATATCTTCAGTTGTTAAAACCAGTTTTTATCAGCTCCATGTAATTGCCATAGCAAAAKCTTACATTCCCCACAAAGACCTTGAAACTCTTAAGCCGGATACTCACCGGATGTGTTTTGAGCAGTTAAAGCAGCCAGTTTACATGCACAGTCTATGGTGAATGTGCATCTAGGAGCAGCGCGGCGTGTTTTGCCAGTTTAGCATGGCGCGCAAGGTAGCAGTAGGATGCGGCAGAGCGTTTTCCGTGCATGCGGCGCATCCAAAGCAGCCGCTGCTCGAGTTCAAAAACTTTAACTTGCGCTGCTCGATGYGCCACAACAACCAATCTGAGAGAATAATTTTTCCACGTGACGGTTTCCTGAACCCGAAACAGACGGAGGAGCTCTTTAGCTGAAATCGACCATCTGCAGTTGTTGCTCTRTCTGGAGMTATCAGCACCGATGTGGGTCAGCAGCTCGTTAAAATGACCGCAGTGTTAAACTGGGCTCGGGACAAAAAAATTGTTTGTCAGCTCGCAGCTCCTGGAGTTGCGAAACTAACCGAACAAACTGCCTCTAAATCATCTGGTGAATTAATTATCTTGTTCGCTTGCTTTCAGTAAATAAAGCAAAGCCATTTTCTTTATTTTATCTTTATTCCACCCGTCATTAAAGACAGACCAGAAAAAAACCAGGACGCTCCTCCCTCTTCAGACGAGTGTCTAGTCTGTGTCCCAGTCTGAACGTAGTGCATCCAACTTGTGGCGTTGGGTGCATTTTAGCTGCTCAAAACACGTTTGGTGTGAACCCGGCTTTACCCATGCTTTTATTACATCTAGACTGGACTATTGCAACTATTCATTTGTTGGTTTGGAACAATCATCTCTCCATCGCTTGCAGTTTGTCCAGAACGCTGCTGCATGTCTTTTAACAGGTTCTAGAAGGCAGGACCTTATCAGTCCTGTTTTATCTGACGTGCACTGGCTGCCTGTTCACTTTCATATTGATTTTGAGATTCGTTTACTTGCATTTAAAGTTTTAAATGGTCTGGCACCCAATTATTTATTGGCCCTGTTGCACTTTTATTCCCCACAGAGAAAACGTAGATCCTCTAATCATGATCATTATATGATGATAATGAATGACAACAGATTTGCAATGCACACAATTTTCAGATTCCAGCACAATTAGCTAACATCCTGGACTTCATTTTCAAAAATAAGGAAAAAAAAACCCCAGAAGATCATAAGCACTGGAATGTTTTGTTGTGGCATCTTTTCACATTTATAGTTTCATGCCTCAGATTGTTGGAACAGAACAATCCAATTACAGGCGTGAGGAAATAGACTTATCAGAATACATCTGAAGGTTTGGCTCTTTTCCAACAGCTTGAGGCACAAAAATGTCAGTTGTCATAAGTTAACTCACTGTTGTACCTTTTTACTTTGATTTTCCTGCGCTACTTCTTTSTGGCTTTATCCTCCCATTGTTTAATAAAGAAAGATAACATTCTTTCAGTTCAACCCAGTTCCACATTAAAATGAGCTGTAGCTTTATAATATGTGAAAGAATATGATAGAAGATCAAGAAAATAGTTATGGGACTGTACAATGATGTCAGGTGTGAGGGTACTGTAGGACAGGACAAAAAGAAAGTGGTAAGATGTTCAGTAGCAGTGAGGAATAGGGTCAAAGTGGGTGTGGGACTCCATCAGGAACCAGCTTTTCTGATTGCAGCAGTGATGGACAGATGGCAAATGAGGTGATGTAGGAGTTATAGATGCAAGAATGCTTGTAAACAAAGCCAAAGTGTTTGTTTTAGACAGTGTTGTGCCTAATTGTTTCAATATGAGTTTCCTTGTAAATTCTTGGAGTCTGAATGACTGCATACCATAATAACATAGTTTTATCTTCAAGCCTTTGAAGATGTTTRTATTTGTGTTGTTGTGTGTGAGACAYGAAGAGAACTGTGAAAAGATAGAAATGCAAATGTTAGGACTTCAGAAAAAAATGAAAGACAAAGACTGACAGCTGTGTGCTTTATTTGGACAATCATAATACATTTGTACATAGTTTTTTCAGTCTTGGAGTCATTCATTTGTAATGTTAAAATCCCATAATACAGTCATATGGGCATAGGAGAGAGGAGAGTAGGTGGAAGAGAGCCATGGGGAGATTTGTTTWCGATCAAAAAGGAAAGTAAACCAGTAGAAACAAGATAAAATCCATGTGTGTGAATGAGATGGAGACATCTGGAACAATGAAGCTCCAAGAAGTAGATATACTAAAGGGGATCAGTTTAAGGACCTCAGATCAGAAATCTGTGTGATGTGATCAAATGAGAGTAATTTGATTGGCTAAAAGCCACTCGACTCCATCTGGTGCTGATAGCTTTGGCTTGAGTCACAAGAAGGTCCATATTTGAAGACCAATATTTTCAATTYAATGTTTTCAGGCGAATTTCTGCCGCTGGTGAATTTCACATAAAAAAAATTTCACATACATAATTAGAAAGGTTTAAAACTTMAATTATATTGAGCAGATTTCTTGGTTTCATTTTGGTAGAAGTTTCTTTTCTTTGTTCAGACCAACTCATACACATTCCTTAGTTATCAAATGCTGCTGTTGGAGCCCTGGTATGGTAAACACAAAGTATGCTTTGTTGTCAGGTTACAACACGGAAATGACACACAATAAAAAAATTGTTGTGCCAGTGGGATGGAAAATACATTCAGATACAGTATGTTGTTTTCCAGTTTTCTTGTTTTTATTCATTTACCTGTTTTCTGTAGTTCCACTTAGTTAATAAGTAACAGAAAATTAACTGATTAAGGTCAAGCAATCATGATTTTTTTTTCAAACTGGTAAAAAATAACACCCTGATATATAGGACCGTGAAAGAGCTTCTGTGGGATCCATGAAAAGCACAACACGCTGCCATGGGAGTAAGAGCTTCACCTTCTAATAACAACAAACAAAATATGTAATGACTAAATGCTACATCGGTTTCGGCTAAGTATTATCACTTGTGAAAACTGAGAYAGAAAAAGTAAGGATGTAAATGCTTTTGAATGCAAACTAACACATGAAAAAAATGGGCTTTTTTSTTTATTAGATTACTGACAGTAGTATGGATACCATTCTCAGTTCAGAAGGCTAACTACATGGCTAAAGAGAAACCACTAAACAGGGATAAAACAGGTAGGCCCAATCCTGGTCCTTGGGGAGCCTCTATCCTGCGTGTTTTAAAGATTTCTCTGTTCCAACATGCATGACTTTAATGAATTGGTGGTTAACAGGTTTCTGCAGTAAATCAAATACTGAATCAGGTGTGTAGAAGGAAGRAAATGACTAAAACMTGCAGGATAGTGGCTCTCTAGGACCAGGAATTGGGCACATTTGTCCTAAAGCATGTTGAGCGTCAGAACACGCCAAACAAGTTCTGAGACTAGTCAAACAGTGAGATAGGAAATACTTTGCTACTTGTTCATAGTTGGCAGGTTTTACAGTATTCAGAAAYGAAGATGACTCAGATTGTCCAGGTTTACCCTCTTGGCAAACTCCTGACAACTAAATAGTGTCTTAAACAACAAAACGAGTTTATATGCTTCAGGCTTATTCTTCAAGTCTTTTTACAAACAGTGAATAAGTGAGATTTGATATTTGTCAAGTGACACTTTTGACTCTTCCCATTGTATTGGTGGTTGTCATTTTGATATAGTTGTCGGGCACAGCACACAGACAATCAAACTTCACAATCTACAACATTTTTTATTATTTCTGGAAACAGAATGGATGTAGTGTTTCGGAGAAACAATTACTGGAAGTTCAAAATGTTCCTGCTTCCAGAGATTGCATCTCAATGAAAATGGAATGCCTTCAAACAGGACCAGCTACCATAGTGGTTACTTACTGTAAAGTAAAAGTAATTTGAATGTGAATGCTCGTATGTAATAAAATTAGAATCAGTTTTTGTTTCAAAATGTGCATGTATATTTTTAGACCAATGAACATTTTGATTATGTGTGAATGTCTAAAATTTTTTATGTTGTTTTTGTCTTCTTTACAGTCAACATGGCTTTACCAAGGCCAGTGCAATTGGGTGTCATTCTTCTGGTTTTATTCTACAGTTTGGACAAACAGGGACTCAGACAGTCTGTGTCTGGCTTTTTTCAGGTGAGAAAGACAAACTGTAACGCAAGAAAAATCATATTAGACTAAACATGCTGTGATTTGGCCAGATCACTAAACATCCTTTGAAAAAAAATGCTTCCAACAAGTGGTGCAGTTTTTGAGTTGGTAACAAAATAAATGGTTACAGTTTTTGATTTGTGCAGCTAGATTAAAGAAATAAATTTAATGTGTGAATTTTTGCAGGACTTTATGGACACCGAAACGTCTATTCTTCATGCCAGAGAAAAAAGAGCAGGTAAACCATTTAAAATGCTTTTGCCAATCCCTTGCATGATGTATGTCTTAATATTCGTGAAAAATGATCATCTGCCCAGCACTATACAACATCTTTTTATGGGTTTCAGCTCAAGATTTTACAAATGCTACTGATTATGTGTTGGAAATTGTCCTAAGCCTTTCTGACATTAGGAGCCTTCGCTTGATCCTCAACAACCTCAGCTTCCCTTTATCAATAAACGACACGACTGAAATTACCAGCATTAGCACCACAACAGGTAAAAATGCATTTTCTTGTTTCTCCGTTCCATTCATTAACACAAGTTAGTATGAAATATGTGTCACTTTATAGCACAACTCTTGCCCTAACTTGATATTTTGTGCTGATGTATTTCCTTCAGTGTGTTCACAAAATGCAAATGCATCCCAGTGCAAATGTGAGGAGAATTATGCCTGGTCTTATAACASCTGCATTGCCTATGGAGCCTGTGATACCATTGTAGGTGACACATGTGGATGCATTAAGGGCCTCCCATCTGGTGGTCAATTTTGTCAGCAAAACATAAGTCAAACAGGTAAGTCTGAAAGGTCTCAGTTGATTTTCTGAAATTCGAGTTACTCCAGCCTGTAACATAGATTTTAGCTTGTTTTAAAATGATGACTTCAGCTAGTAATAAAGTATATTTAATATTTCTTCTTACTGTCATGAAAAATAAGAATATTTATATTTATCAGTCAACAGTTAGAAAATGTTCTCTGGTT